TACCCTTGAGAATGGAGTAATGGATTAGACACATTCGAAAATGTAAGCGAAATAACATAGTTATTAGTTACTTTACCAACATCCAGTGCTAAATTTTGAGTGGTATTCTCAGACACATGCTGTTTAATAATGTGAATGCTCAGAATAAATTTTAAAAAATATGTTAATTCAAAATTTAGGAAACTTGGATATCTATGACATTAGAAAAAGAGGTAAATTATAATATAATTTATTTTTTACTGATATGTTAATGCTTGTTAGCCAATCCGGTGGCCGAGATCGCTAAGGCAGTAGTGCCGTAGCGATCTCGTACCGAAAGATCGCGGGTTCGAGTCCGGCATGGTTGTATTGTGTTCGTCCTTTCACCCCCTATCATCCATCATCCTCCATCTCTCATTATCACCTTTCTGAATAACATTCAGAATTGTAACTCGAGGATTTATCCTCACCTCAAGGTGAAAACCTTCGACAGTCGACCATAAATAGTAAAAAAGTGAAGTGGAACGACTCAAGCGGTCCAATGTAGCCAATCAAGTTAATAATAATAATGCTTGTTAATGCCTTCAATACAGAGTTTGATATACTCTGCATAACTTACCTGGATTGAGAGGAATGTGGTTACGTGGGAACTGCATATTAATGCACTTCTGCATATTCATGTAGTATTTTAATATTGTGTAACTATTAAAAATAATGTGAAGAACTGTTGTAGCACCAGTAGTTTTATTTTATTATCAGTTGAATATAACATGATTACCATACTGTGTAGCTTTTATATCTTTACTTAACATTTTTTATAAAGCATTCAAAATAAATAAATAAATCTGAGGTTTAAGGAAAGATAATACTTTGAAGCCAGTTGTTTAATGGTAGCATCTTGTGCATCAAATGCCTGTCACAGCCATGTTATAATGGCAATATGAATGAAACTGGTAAATGCTATCTATTCATTATTAGTATTTTCATTGTGATAGTGTAAAGAATAGATGTAGGTAAATAAATTCTTTTAAAATCCATTTTCATTTCTATTTTCTTTTTCTAAGCACCATTGAAGACCTTGACACAAGAGGGGGACATCTTGAATTTTACTACATTTAGAGGCATTGAAAAAAACATTTACTTCAATTTAGTAAATTTAAAAAGGAAATGTAAATTTTTATTAATGTTACTTTTTTACTTTTATCTCCAAATGTATTAAAAAGGTTTTTTGCAGTGAAAAGAATTTACATTAATTAACAGTTAAATCACTGAATTTATATCAATGTTATGAAATGCATATATGTGTAAATTAATGTTTTAATGAGAATTTTGCTCTGAAAAATACATTGTATAAGATCTTCCGAGACAGATTATTACACATCTTGAAGATAACCACCTCTAATTTTAACACATGAGTTAATAATATAAACTATTAAATGGACCTTTTATGTTAGTTTATTGTTTTCTCTATGGCCTGTTGTTCATCATCTCAAGTGATATTTACATCACTTTCATTGTCACGCCATTGCAATATCTTCTTCCACAAGTTCATTATGAAATCAATTGCAGTCAGAGATAACATATTTCATTCCTAACTCCTCTATGTCTTTTAATTACTTTTCTTTTGTAGTCCATTGCATTTTGCAGAAGCTGTCTTGTTTCTGTTCCATTGTGAGATCGAATTATCTTGAGCCCAGATTTATTTTAAGAGGTCCTTTCCATTAATATCATATAGGCTATTGCTTGGGACTGTTCCATTCTTATACTAAAATAAATACGTTTTGTTCACAATTATCGAGGGAATGCATAAAATAACTCGTGGTGCAGCAGACTGACATAAACTTTCTCATACTAATAAGTTTCCCTATCTCTTCAATCTTCACTAATTCTTTTAGTTTTGCCCCTCCCTTATCTCAGCTTCAGTCTATTGGCACCTAAACGTCATTTTATATTTTCCTCTCCCAAAGAGTAGAATTGACATTTGACTGTAAGAATATTATAGAAGGTAAAAATTTGTCACATAGGTCTATTTTCACTGGAATATTTGTAGCTGTTATTAAGGAAATGTTTGAGCTTTTCTGGAAATGCACATTTTCAAGTTCATGTTCACCTAAAACTGCTGAGTTTTTGAGAACTTCATAAGAAACTATTTGAAGTAATGGTATTTACAAAATCGAAGATGTATAAGAAATGGCCATGATAAAAATAAAGTAGAGCTATTTAAAGAATGCATTTGTATAATTTAAAAAACAACAACAAAATAATACAGCAAAATGCCATTTATCTCATCTTACACAGTGAATAATGTGTACAAATTTTCGGCATTGTCAGTATTAATGACAGAAAGAAAGGGAGGGGAAAAGGGAGAGAGAGGGAGTGGAGAGGTGAGGGAGTGAGGGGAACTGGAATTGGGTGATTCATATTGTGAGTCACTAAGCAACCTCAGGACAGAGGAGAAAATATTATATGGTATTATATTCTAATATAAAAAACACTGATATGAGAAATTTCGTGAGAAACTCTTTATTATGTTTCTAATTAAAATGAACAAAATATAGAATAAAATAGTGAAATATATTTATAACAAACAGGATGTCACATCAATGTCAAACACAAAACGAACAGAATGAAAAGCATCACTACGACAGAAGCAATCCAAAAAATTATGTGATGCAGAAAGTGCACTACTGTCTCACCACCCTGATGGGTAGCGCATGCGACTCCGATGAGGCAAAAAAGTGCATCACAATGGCAGAAAGAGTTGATATCTGAAAACTGTTGAATCCTGTTTTGAACTATGAGGCTGAATTCGAATACTTTCACTTTCCGAAAAAACAACAACTGTATTTCTTGGAGATAAGTCACTGGAAGAAAACTCTTCAAAAAAGAACCTTTCGACAAAGGTGTGTCAAGTATTCAGCCAGGATCTTTAAATTTTTTTATCACAAAAAAGAAATGCTCATATCTCACACACTATGCAACGTATATCACTTGTAAAAGCACTAACGTGTTTTATAATTCATGCAGTTCCACAAAATGTCATCACTTGTGATATAGGATGAAAAATGTGCATTCTAGGGACATTGACTTGAAAGACTTGTATTTTCGAATATACAACGATGTAAAATAATACTCAAATTCAATAGGCTCTATCTCCTAAACTATTAAAGCTACAGAGATGAAATTAGCACAGAAAATTGTATATGCTCGTCTCTTTAATCTGAGTTAGAAATGAATTTTCTTGTTAAATAAGAACCTGTTCGAAGTTGCGATTTTCTACACTGCTATTTGGAAGAAATTGACGTTTATTGCGTAAATTTTGTGATTTAAAAAAAGCCTCAAACGAAAAAATTGGTTTCAGTGTATTCGCCATTACATTTCGATTTAATACTTTGTTTTCAGAAAAATCCGTGTCATGTCGAAAATCGTAAAATTTCGTCGATCGACAAATCTTTAAATTTTATTACACAAAAAAGAAATGCCCATCTCTCACACGCTATGCAACTTATATCAATTCCAATAATACTAATGCGTTTCAAAATTCATGTAGTTTCAGAAAATGTCACTTGTCATTTACGGATGAATAATGTGCCCTCTAGGGACACTGACTTGAAAGACTTGTAGTTTCGAATTTACAACGCTTTGAAAATAATAGTAACAATCAATAGGCTCTATCTCCTAAACTATTAAAGCTACAGCCACTGAATTAGCATAGGAGATCGTATATACTCTTTAATTATAGTTTTAAAAAAATTCTGGTTAAATAAGGACCTGCTTGAAATTGCGATTTTCTACACTGCTATTTAGAAGAAATTATTATTGCGTTTATTGCGTAAGTTTTGCAATTTAATGAAAAAATAAGCTTTAAATGGAAAAATCGGTAACACCAGTGTATTCGCCATGAAATTTCGTTCTAAAACCTTGTTTTCAGAAAAATCCGTGTCATGTCGAACGTATATCAATTCTAAAAGCACTAACTTCCTACGGCTTTCAGAGACGGCTCGCTGGGAAACCCGCAGACGTATCCTTTTGTTAAATTTTAGTGAGGTTTCTTAGGGGAACGGAGGGTGGCGGAGGATAGCGTCGTTGCCCGCGTGTTTTATGGTTTGGATCCACTTCTTACAGTGAATTGCCAGGAGGGATCGCGGGGGCAACGGGCGTAATTAGCGTGACAGGGGTTCTGCCACGCAACAAGTGCGATGCCGATGATACATCGCAAGTTAAATACTAAATTTGAAGTATTTTGCCTAACCCTGAGGTTCTGACACAATGATTTAACTCGTAATTTCTTAACGTAATTAAAGGTTAAGTACGATTTCCCTCTTCTTCTTCTTCTTCTTCTTCTTCTTCTTCTTCTTCTTCTTCGTCCTCTTCCTCGTCCTCGTCCTCGTCCTCGTCTTCGTCTTCGTCTTCGTCTTCGTCTTCGTCTTCGTCTTCGTCTTCGTCTTCGTCTTCGTCTTCTTTTCTTTTCTTTTCTTTTCTTTTCTTTTCCTTTTCTTTTCTTTTCCTTTTCTTTTCCTTTTCTTTTCTTTTCCTTTTCTTTTCTTTTCCTTTTCTTTTCTTTTCTTTTCTTTCGAAGGGGAAAAACATCCCTTTCATCATTTGAAGGGGGAAACATTATTTTCTAACTTAAACTTCCAATGATTGTAATGATTTATTGTTTTGAATTTAATTATGTTATATATATATATATATATATATATATATATATATATATTAATTTTATTTATTATAATACTACCAATTGAGAAAACCCTTGTTCTCAACTAAGTTCTTATTTTATAGAAAATAACACCCAAAACTTATGGATGACATAATAGATACATAACATTTTTGTAAACAGGAAAACTTTTAAGAGTTCGGCAACTCTATAAATCCATCGATATAGTGAATTTTGTTGTCCATCTTATTGAATATATCGGTGTACTCTTTCTCCGTACAAAGAAATTTCGCGGTACCGTAAGTTTGTTGTTTGAACTCTCGATGTGACGTGTCGATTCTCGTTCGGTTCTATTTGATTCATGATTCATCATGAACCAGACTCGGAATGCCCGGTTGAACTGATAGTAAGAAATTTGACACTTGTTACTACGGTGATGAAACGTGTTAATAGTTATTACAAATGCGTATGTTAGGTTGTAATAGAACACTGTCTCGGAATATGCGATATATTTTAGTATGTTGGACATTTCTCTCCGTGTTGAGAGGTTTTAAATAATGTTATATTGCCACTTTCTGGCCATCTCTGTGAAACTTTGGTTAATGGGTGCATTAACAACATAAAATGCATTAGCAACAAATGTAAATAGTGTTTATTACAAGAAATCAACTGCACGATAGCACACAGGTGACGTGAATAATTATAGACTCCACGAAGAATTACATTTTTTGGGTCAATAGGAAAGATTTGTTGATCGTGATTTACATTGAAAGATTGTGTTTAGAGAATTGTTAAATCCGAAAATGTCGATAAGTACGTTTCATCCGCGCCCCAAATCAAGTGCAAAATTATCAACTAGAATAGATGCGGAGGGCAAAGAAGTGGAGGTGAGAAAAGAAAGTTTAATACAATTTCCATTTCCTACTTCATAAAAGTTGATGTATTAATTTCTGATTTTCTAATTTCAATGACAGGTTGAAGCAAGAGAAGATGAAGAACAAAAATTGAAACTCCATGAAATAATTGATGTTCTGGTTGCCGCTGGATATTTTAGAGCTCGTATCAAGGGTTTGTCTCCATTTGACAAGGCATGTTTTAGTATTTTCTTGTTTGTTTGTATTTCATATCATTCTTCGTGATACTTTTGGACCTTTGTGGGCCACTACCATTGCTGTAAACTAATAATAATTTTCTTCATAAGTCATTGTTAATTCAAAATAAAATTATCAGATTTGAATTCTATATTTGTTTTAAATAGTTATATTACAAGGGTACTGTAGATGTGCAGTATGAGTGTATGTTGGTTTTATTACTATACTGTCTGTTGAAGAGATTACTACATTAGGAGTTGTACTTATTATTGAGGTTTTGCAGTTGTGAAATCCATTTTTAAGATTTTGGATCTCCAGAAAATGATACTTTGTGTATTAATTGTATATTCATTGAATAATATGATGTTGATATTGTTGTTTTTGAAGTGTAATTTTATATATTTGAATTTTTTTTTTTTCTATCAGAAGACTACACTTTAACTTCGCACAAAAGCATTGTTATGTTGTGGTTTTTCTTCCTTGTCTTTGAACTAACCTAAACTTTTTTTAGTGTGCTATTGTACAGTGTGTGTTATGCTTTCCATCCAGTTATATGCTTTTAAATTACAGACAAATTTCGGTGAATACTTAACTTTGAGAAAACTATGTTGTTAGCTTTTAGTACAAGTATTTTATCATGAAAAAACTATGTAACATAGTCCGCATAATTTTGTGGATTTGCTGTAAAACTGGTAGTGTCATTCGACTACAAAAGAAAAGACATGATAGCCAAGAAGTTCTTGTAACTTGCATGTGAACAGTTGAGAGCAAGTTCATGCTTCATGTGTCTTGGTAGTGCATTTAAACATAATGTGAAGGTGATAGCTTCTCATTTTCTTATTTCATTGTAAGCCTACAAGTAGTGTTTATTGGGTAATACAGGGTGCAGTACAATGTAGAACTCTGCCACTGAATATTTCAATGAAAAGAGCAGTGAAAAAGACAAACGGTGTGAAAAAAGAATGTTACGGCCACTGCGGAAATAAAAACTTTTGAGTGTGAGCTATTTTAAATTGAAATTAAGTAGAGAATTTTGATTTAATCATAGTTTGTCATTCAGGTTGTTGGTGGAATGACTTGGTGTATTGAAACCTGCAATTTTGAAGTGGATGTGGATCTCCTGTTTCAAGAAAATTTAACAATTGGCCAAAAAATGTAAGTGTGCAAGTGTTACTTATATTTAACTTTTGTGCTTCTAATTTCTTTGTTAAAATTCTAAAGTGTTTCTCTTCTAGGTTTCTGAAATTAAATGATAAAATAAATATAGAGATATATATATTTCGATTTCATTGTATACAAATTTTATTGTAAAAGAGATCAGTAAATTATAGGCTTTCTACAATGCCATTAATTCATGAGAAATCTTAGAGACAATACTCTTTCTTTGAAATCAAGAGCATCTGTTTCACTGCTTTGCTCTATTTGAACACTCGTAGTTATTGTGGCCAAAAATGTTTTTAACATGACTCATGGTTACTCTGTCAGGTCATTTGTCATGCCACTGCAATATTCCATTGTGAATATGCCACTGCCATATTCAAATTGCAATTCTGGGTCAGCGTAAAATATCAATAGACATACTCATGGAATTGAATAAAACATTAAAAAATTTTAATATTCTCTCTATTGACGTTTTTCAAAACTTCTTTTGAGATTATAATAGAACAGTGTTTGGTATTTTATGAATCTGGAAGTACTAATGTACATTATAGAAATGAGGTATCATAATTTTATTATCTTAGTCGAAACTCTAGTCATAACTTTTTAGAGTAATTTTAGAATAACGAATGAAAATCTTTGAATAAAAATGAAACAAAATTTCCCCTTTGAAAATTAAAACAAAATCATTAGTGATTAGTTATTTTTTTAAGGCCTTCATGTAAACATATTGGAATTAAATGCAATAAATTAAACATGTTTATGTTCAATTGTTATATTGAATATATTTCATTAATTTATATTATTAAATTTTTCAAATACATTTATAAACATAAAGGTAAAAGCACGGCACAGGCTTTCAGATGTTGCCCTGAAGGTATTCCTGTTAAAAAAAATTGTTGTTCTCCCAAAATATATTGCTTTTGCTATAAAAGTTTGAAAACAATTTAAGTTTCATTCTATAAACACTGTTTTGGCACTTTTTTACCTTTTTGTAACGTGCAAATGGCAACAAGCTTGCACAACACATCATCAACTCCAGTCCTTTGCAGACTCCTGCCGAAAATCCATACCTTTCACCCTCCTTTGTTCTCCACCCCTCCTCTATTTCAAAACCACCTCCTCCTCCTCTAATCCTACTCCCATTTCTCCCATATCCGCTACCAATTCCCCTACTCCTCTACCCTACACCAATCAATTTCCTCACCACCAGTCACTGCTGGGACACATTACAACCTTCGACCACACACTCGAGGTAAAATGGAGTAAATATACAGCAACTACAGTCAGATGCAGTAGAAAAACAACCATATAGGTACTTGCAAAAGATACACAGACTGCAAATGGATGTTCTCTGCTTTACAGATCATTGGTTATTTCATAATGAATTTAGTATTTTCCAAATTCGAAACTTTTCCCTTGTAGGCTATTATTGAAGAGAAAAGGAATTGCATAAAGATCCTGCATATGGAGGTTCTTGTATTTACGTTAGAAATAATATCGATTCAATCTCCTTGACAAAAATTAAATGTGTGTTACTTTGAAAACTGTTTTGAAATATCTGTAGTACATCTTGCTGTGCTAAAAAATATATTACTTTGCATCTGCAGGCCTCCAACAAAGAGATTATTAGATTATATTATATTCTTAAAAAAAACTGGAGATAACACTAATCAAAGTCAGCAATTGCTCTTTTGAATCCATTGTTGTATGTGGAGATTTTAACATGAATTTTCTGGTAGAATCTTTGAGAAAGAGTAGCTTCTTAACTTAATTTATTCCTTCTGTTTAGGTATTACAATAAATGTACCTACAGAGATAACACTAAATTCAAAAATGGCTATCAATCAAACAATAATTAAGTAACTACTACTCTATGAAATTGAAACAAAAGATCTAGGATACAGTGATCACGATGCACAAATTCTTATCATTATAAGAAATGTGAACACTGACACATTAAATAATACACATATGAGTAGATTTTTACTGTCAGTAAACATAAAATTATTCATCAGTTACTTGCTGCAAGAGTAATGGGACACAGTTTACAATACTGTTGATACAAACGATAAGTATATATCAACAGTATTGTAAACCGTGTGCCATTACTCTTATATATATAACGCTTTCCTCTTCAACAAAGAAAATTAAATAATTCATGGTAAAGTAATTCTTGGATAACACAAAGTATTAGATCATCGTGTAAAAACAAACCAATTCTGTCATTTCTAAGCATCATAATGTGTCTCAAGATTTTCTCCTCTACTTCAAAAAATACAAGTCATTGTTAAGAAAAGTCACAAGGCTGGGTAAAATCATGAAACATGATCAGGATATTTTGAAGTCAAATAATAAGACAAAAGCAATGTAGAATACAGTATAAAATTTGACCAAATAAACTAGAAACCTTGTAGAGAAAGTTGTTTTAAAAGATAATGATAGAAATGTGAACGATCCGGCAACAGTGTCTATTCTCTTTAACCAATACTTTTCAAAAATTGCTGTCGATCTCACTAAGAGTCTTCAGCCACAAAATTCAACATCAGACGTTTCCCCAAAAGTTTTAGATACGTTGTTCATTTCCGAACCTTCTTCCAATAAAATTCTCAAATTAATCGATAGACTAAAAAATAAATATTTGGCCGGGTTAGATGAATTTCCAGATTGTTTGTAGAAGACTTGTGCGCCTGCCATTATACACCACTTAACTAACAGTTAATGTATCCTTATGCACAAGAATTTTTTTCCTGATATTATTAAAATAGCTATGATTAAGCCAGTTTTCAAAAAAGGCAACAAAAATGAAATTCAAAATTATTGGCCAATTTCTCTTTTGTTGTTTTTTTCTAAAATATTAGACATTTTTACGTACGAATGGAAACCTTTCTCAGTAAACAGCATGCATTTTCAGATTGCCAACATGCATTTTGAAAATCAAAATCTACGGAAACAGCCATAATTTCTCTTCTTTAAAATGTCGCTTCATCCATGGATCAAAAGGAAGCACCTATTGGAATATTTTTAGATCTTTCGAATGCTTTTGACGTCATTAATCATAACATTTTACTTTCAAAATTACCTTCATATGGAATTTGTGGTATTGCTCTAGATTGGTTATATTTGTACCTTAAACAATCTCAGAGAGTAGCAATACCTAACTGGAATAATATAACATTATGTACACACCTTTCTCATTCTTTCTCAGTTGCATATGGAGTTGCCAGTTGCAAGTTGCAAGGATCAATTTTAAGCCCTATTCTCTTCCTTCTATACATAAACAATATGCCCTCGAAGATGAGAAATGGAAGAACAGTTCTCTTCGTGGATATCTGAATATTCTTTGCAATGAAGAAACCATAAATAGTATAATATTAGATATTTCAAATTGGTCCTGTAATAACAAATAAATAGTATATGGAAAGGGAACTGTTTCAATGCAGTTATCCATTTCAAATAAACAGCTCTGTACTCCATTGAAAATGATCGGTGTGCCATTAAGTGATGTTAAGGTAACAAAATTTTTAGGTCTTTCAATTCAGTCAAACCTTACATGGAACGTCCATTTAAATGAATTGAACACTAAATTAAGTTTTTAGCTTCGCTTTCAGTGCATTATTTGCAACTATGTCTCATTTGCCTTTTGTTTTAAAAACTCTCTACTGAGTGAATTCATTTGTTGAGCTCTGATGATTGTGATGTGACACTTAACCTGAATGTGTGAAAGGGTTAAATCAACAGCGTTTGTTTCTCTAAAGCAAACTTTTTGCCACATTGAAGGTTGAAAAGAATGAAATAAAAATTTGTTTGTTTTTTTAATACACAATAAGGTACATAATTGAAATATATGGAATATTTGGCAGTATAGAATGCCTCAATAAAAATTAAATTGTGGTAAGTAATTATGGGAAATAATGTGCTGTTTTGACAGTCAGATAATCTGACAGTTCATAAAAGGTGGAAAGAAGTTAGATAATTTCTTAAATTTTTTATTTTGCTTCCAACTTTTAAAAAAATGGTAACAATCTTACAAAATGGTAACAATAAAAACGAGAACTATTTTATGCATTTAAACAATCTTACTATAACAATTGTGACTGGTCTGTATTTCAAAGGCAGAATAATGGACCAGTGCATAAATTTCTCTTTCTCTTCTGATGCAGAGTACAGCCAGCATAATTTGAGGTTTTTATTTAATGTAGATTTCAGATTCAGCCAATTATTCTGCCAAGGAAAGCTTTCACATTTATACTCCACGGCTTCAATTAAATAAAACAGACAAGCTTCTGTAGGATGAATAGGTATTTTTAAGCACTAAGGGTGAAATGCACATTTTTAGACACTTTAAATGTGGTTCCTTGATATTGTAAAGTCATGTAGTGACTTTACCTGAATATATGATGACCTCCTGATGTTGAAGAGTTCTTGTGAGAATTTTAAAATTTTTTTCTCTAATTGTTACTATTTAGTTGAAATAGAATCTGAAACCCCCTAATTTGCTAGAAAATTGTCTTGAGAATTTTAAAATATTCTGCTGAGCTATGATAATTTTCTTCTTCTCAAAAAATCATCATTGTTTTGGTTAATATCATCTCTATCTTCACTTGTAACATTGTATCTTTCTTTGTGGCCCACCTCTCATACTAGGTCACCCTCTTGACATTTTATCTTCCGATACCAAGTGTTAGCTAATAATGGTTGCAAAGATTATATTAACTAATGCATTCAAGATTTTGTGTGGAGTGGTTAATAGTAAATTCATACCAGTCTTAAAATGAATTAAATACTTTACTTCCTGCTCTTGTTTTATGTAATTAATGTTTTGACCTATCTAGTTGACTCTTTTTCACAAGTTCTTTTATTGTGGAATTGTTAAATGAAGATTAAATTACTCATGTTAGAAGATTTAAGTGGTGTGTACTTAAGTTAATTAATTGTTAGATAATGTATTACAGATCTGTTTTTGTTACATACATTGCTTCTCTTTGAAGTGCTTTAACTGAGAAGATTGTTGCTGTGTTACCACAAATGCAATGTCCTCATTCAATTGAACCTCATCAAATTCAAGGCCTTGACTTCATTCATATATATCCTGTGATTCAAGTGAGTTCTCATATTTTTATATTAGCCTTTGAGTAAGAATGCAATTAAGCATTTGTGGCTAAAGGAATCTTTATTTTTTTTAATTTTATTTTTAATTTTTAATTTTTTGCTTTTGGCAGTGGCTTGTGAAGAAATCTATGGAAACTCGAGAGGAAATGGGTGATGTAATTCGAGCATATGCTGTTAACCAATTTAATAAACGCTACACTCTGCCTGAAGAACACAATACTTTAGAACTTCAAGAGAAGCTTCAGCAAAATATTTCAATCATAAAGGTAAGAAATTGTATGGATAACTTGATAATTACATAACATCACTACAGCAAACTACAAATGGATTGTGTGTGAATGGACTTTTGAAATATAAGACCAGAATTAATAAATAGATTTTCATAATTTTTGTTTTTTTGTTCTTTTAGTGTTTTGTACTTGTTCTGTTCCATGAGACTGCAATGTAATGTGACTATTTTAGTGTTGATTTTTCTTTTTTTTTGTTGTTGTTGTTGTTGTTGTTGTTGTTGTTGTTGTTCATGAATATTCGTTTACTTCAACTTTTTTCTTTTCTTTTCAGTACTCATAACTTGGCCACATTTTCCTTGTAATATGTATTGATTAAACAGTACTTGACTTGTATTGATTAAACTGTTATTGACTAAAAAGCTTTTTATAGTACTTTGTGCTTTTTTTGTTAGGAGGTATAGTACTTTGTGCTCTTTTTGTTAGGAGGTATATAGACCACAACGACGGTTTCGACGAAAGGATGCTCCACCTGATGATGAACAAAGTCTTGTGCAAAGTACTCTTCTGGAGTATGGATGCAGTTTTCCATCTGTCCTTTCTACAAAGTCCACAGACGTGAGAGATTTTATATATTATATATATTTTCTGTGTGCTTTTGGCCTGAAATTTTATCATTTAAGTTGGGAACCTTTTGTTCCTTGGAGTGCATGCAAGTTAGATCAAGATGGATGGGAGTTATGAACAATATATAATCTGACTCCAAGAAAACATATAGGGCTGCCTAAAGAGTGGGGTTTCACTACCTTTTGTTTCAAGTAGTTTCCTTTTTGGGCAGTGTCATACCATTGTTTAAATTTTATTACTCCTGTGGTAATTCAGTATTTATGCATTCATTTTCATTTATCAATTCGTTATAAAAATCAGCATTCTGTTCTAGATTAATGAAATGTGCCTTTAGCTTGTGTTAATTATACTTAATTGAAAGTATTATCTAAGAATAATGCTTTTGTAATCCATTTATTGAAGTTTCATAGTATATTGGGTACTAGAACTTACAAATTTTGAAATTGCTATATTTTTGCACTTGCATACTGAAATTGATGATCATCATGGTTAATAAATTTCACTTGAACATTGGAAAGATGCTAAGCAATTATTTGGATCATAAGAATCATTTAATCATATGAAAATAATGAAAAAGTTGCGATATAGTAATTATGTAACAAGTCTGTAAATCACATCACTCACGGTTCTGTACACAGTGTAATTTCTTAAGTGGCAGCTGATGGTTCTGGAGGAAAATGAGCATTAGCACAGGTGGCTGCTTAATTGAGATTATGAAACTATGGGAAACAGACATTCAGTTCAATTTTGTTTTCAAAAGAATTGAAGTGGGTTTTCTTAATTATCACATTTTTAATTACTCTTAAAAAGTACAAATATTGGAAATATTTTTCCCCCAATGCACTTAACTCCTTTACAAAATCTTTAAATTTACACTATTTGTATGAATTTATTTATCACAACTCTACTTGTTCCTTTTCATTTGCGTGTAATATTGTAGAAAATCAATGTATCTATGTATGTATCTATGTATATTGGTAGGCTAAGATGGGACGGAATTGCTACTACAAAAACTGGGATGAGTAAAATCTTTGTCAATTATTACATTCAGAGAAATTCTCAAAAATCATTTCCAGGAACCCTTTCTCACTCTCCTAAAATAAAACTCCACATTCAAAGGGCATGAAACATTTTCTTGTGTTTTTCTTTGAAAGAGGCATAAATTTAAAATACGGGTTGAAAACAATTTGTCTTCATGCTCCATGCAGGTTTTTTAATGAATTTGTTTCTGAGGGGTACAAGTTGAAATGCAAACAAATAATATAATAGATTAATTGTAGTTTTAAGCCAACATCTAAATAAAATGAACCTGCAATGTACTTGGTAATGATAATCACTTCTCTCCATTCCAAGACAATAGATTGTTGAGCACTAATAATACCTATATCAGAATTGAAACAGCAATTTGAAACCAGAGACAAAACCAGGAAAAGGCAATTATGCTTACAAGATGAATGTAGAATTAGTAGCTCAAAATAGTATCTCCTGCCATAAAAGAATACTGCGTCCTTCATTCTTGAGTTAATGAATATGATTCTTATGTAGTTGGCTTTTTTCTTTGTAGAATGAAGTGGCAGGCGGTGATTCAGATGTAACACAAGAGGTTCAAGAAAATCAGAAAAGAGAAGAGGTAAATGATTTTGTTCGTTACTTCATTATCCCAATGAGTTTGCATTTTTAAAGGTTTTGTTTACTCTTTTGGCAATTTTTAACTAATTAGTTTGTGAATGTGCACATTTCTAATTGTTATTTTGATTTTAGTTTCAAGCTTGTCATATTATTTGTTATTGTTTTGTTTCTTTTTTGTTTTTGTTGTACATCAATGTGCTTGCAGAAAAGAATTCAGGATCTCATGAATAATATGGCATCTGCTGGTGAAATGGAAGTGAGTGGATTTCTTTTCTTTTCTTTTTTTAATTTTTTTTTATGTTCAATTTTTGTACAAACTTGCATGCAGTTTTGATTTGAGTGGAACTATTTTGGCTTTCTTTCGATTAGAATGAATCAATTTTCTCAGTGCTTAATATTTTATGGTGTTTTTCACAACTCTAATTTTTCTTGCAGAATCATCAAAATAATTCTTTTTATGTTTTAGAATCGCCTTCCAGCTGGGGTAGTTGGCAATATTGTTGGCTTGCAAGCTCAGGAGATAGCACAAGAAGCAAAACGTTATGCTGATTTGCAAGCAGAGATGGAGGTCAGTGAAGGTTGAAATGAAGGAATCTATTAGTTACAGAATCCAATATTTTATGGTTATTGAAACTAGTTGTCCTCGAACAGCACATACTTTTTTGCATTTTGTAACTTGTGCAATTTTTGAAAATTTAGTGTTCAGCAAAAACAAGTCCTGTACCCTTTTTTAAGCATCCTTTTCTCTATGGGAGGAAAAGATTTTAAGAAAATATTTGGATCCTTTTTTGAGAAAAATATTTTTTTGTAAATTGCATGAACTTGACTCCAGAAATTTTAAGGAAAAATCCAAAAATTATAAAGGACCTTATTTAAAGATCTAATTATTTAGAACAGGTTTCAAGGAGGGAAAAAAATCTTTCATCAATTTTGAACGTTTGCTATTTTAATTATTTTCAAGTTTCAAAAACACAGAGTTCACCAAAAAATAGGACTTATGCCATTGTTTTAAATGGCTAATTCTATTTTCGAGAAAGAAATTTGAAGAAAAAATTTTGAGCCATTTTGGAGAACATTTTGAAGAAGTTGAAGTCAAAAAATCTAAATATGTTTCAAACTCATAGGGTTTTGAGTTCTTCCAGCTCAATTGAGGATTATCAATTTTGGAGAAAATTATCCAAATGATTTAAGTTCTAGCGTTGTCCATGGGCAGATGGGCAGATAGATTGGCATTTTACTATGAATCAATTTTGCAATGTCAAGAGCCCACAAATTATGGATTTTGACTCTCATGTGTTAAAGAAAGTAATTTATTACAGATAAAGAAACAAAATTTATATTAAATTTTTCAATATATGGTCTTCCAATAGATGTTTTTCGACCACAGCATTTCAATTCATTCTTCTTTACCACTTAAGAATATAGCAAAGAAAACAAGGAAAAATTGTAAAATATGAGAAATATTGGCAGATGATAATCATTAGGTAAATTCACAAGCTAAATGGATAAATAAGTGGATAAATGAAGTACTATCCAGTAGAAAAGATGTAAACAAGAGAGCTAGGAAATAGGAAAACCACTAAAACTGTCTTACATTTAATTATCTTGTTGATTACAATGCCCATTATTACATTTTAACATGAAATGTGGATCAAAAATAGTGTTAATGGGACCAGAATTATTACAGCTGGTGTTCAATGCATCAACTATGTTGCTATGTTGTCTTCTCATACACTTGAGTTTATTCGTATATATTAATTTATTAACGATATATTTATTTAAATATATGTTATTGAATACACACCTTATCTTTTGTTTACTCACATTTTAGAGTTTCCACTCCATTTTTAGGCACTTGCAAAACTTGTAAAGTGGAAACCAATCAACATTTAGAATCCACATTCTTTGTACTTTAAGAGCTCTAGCCATACATCACTATGATTGTCAATTAAAATGATATACAACATTATTCTTCACTCGACCAATATTGAGATATATTGAGTACATATGTATTGAATTATTGATGACCCAACCACAACTCGAACAGTGTCTTCTCCAAATATGGGAGGTCTTTTTGCCAGACCCTGTACTACATTTTGAATCATAGATTATATTACAAAACTTACGAAAACAGAACGAATCATACTAACAGCTACAACTTCTAGATGTAGAGCCTTTAGGTGTTAATGTTGTGTTATTATTATATCCTAGGACTCATAAAGTTTTGTATTGTATAATCTAGGAGTCTGGTATGGGATCACCATCTACTCATGCTCGTGCTTTGAATGCATTGAAAAGGAAGAAAGCTGCATTAGAAGAGAGATATAATAAAGTGAATGAGGATAAAGAAAATCTTACCCAAGCTGTAGAGAAAGCTAGTCAGCAACTGCTCAGTATCCAGAAATCTCAAGCTAAAGTTGAAGCAGCTCTTGCTGAAAAAGAAAAATTAGAAACCTCAGAAAATGAGGGGTGAGTATAAAAAGAGCTTTTCTGATTCTCATAATAGACTCAGTTCAGAAAACACTTATCCCATGTTCTCAATATTGTATAATTCGAGAATAATCATAATGCATAAATAATTGACAAATCAAAGGAAAAATCCTTATTCACAATTCATCCACAGTTCTCGCACCTTGCAGCACTGAACTTCAATCTGTGGATTATACTTCTGATTTTGGTGTATAATTCAAGAGTGGGCATTAGTCACCTCTGGTTACCCTAGTAAACAATATAGATAATTCTTACAGGTATGATATTTTTCGGTTGAAGATCTGGAAGGCTTTGAAAGCAGAGATGTCCTGGTTTTGTTCCTGGAAGAACAAATAATGATTAGGATGATATAGATGTGGAATTTTGGGGATTGGCTTCACTGAATAACTATTGATAAACATTAGTGCTTGCTTCAATGTCATTATTAGCAGCATAAATGCAAATTTGTCTGAAAAAACGTTATTTATTTATAATAAACCCATTCAAAAAAATTAATATTGAAAAATAATATGTATATATAGATATAGATATATAGATATATAGGTATATAGGTATATATAGATATAATGAGTATCACAATAATAACAAAGTATTAGAGTAATAAAAATTGCAATAAAAAATAGAAAATTTAAAGTAAAATATAGTAAAGGAGGGCTATAAATTTACAATTAATTTTAGACTTCTTGAATTTATCAGTGTCATTATGAAAGAAGTTAATATCATTGCATGGTTGATTGGCTTCACAGGAAAGTTTGTTGAGTACTTTGAGTACATTGAGTTTGTTCTGTAATAAGATATATAGAAATGTTGAAATCTGAGTGTGTTGTGGAATAAAGTTGCAATATAGAAAGAATATTTGAACAGTTCATTTCCCCAGATACAGTGGAGTTAGAAAGTCGAAGTCATGGTACAATCTTCTTGCTAATAGAGTAGGGATATTCATTCATGCCAGGATATTCTCATAGTTGTGGTCTAGTCTTAATATAGATATAAATGCCCAATGTCTCGGAAATCTGTTCTGCTCAATGTGGATAAAGCCTCAGTATAGGGTGACCAGACTTACCACTGCTTATTCCAAAATAGTCTTCACAGGTGCAAAAATTGTAACTTGAAACACTGTTTTTTACGAAACTCTTTCATGTCCTGTAAGAAGAATCCCAGCATTTTCTTGGCTTTGTTACATATCAGTTCAACACACAAATTGAAATGCAAATGAGCATCAAAGGTCAGGCCAAGATCCCTAATATTATCCACAGATTGCAAAGCATGGCTGCTGTCAAAAGTGTATAAATTGGAAAGGGCTTCTTTTTTTCTGGTGAACTTTACAACATAGCTATCTGCATAGCCAGCAACGTTATCTAAAAATATTCTTAATTAAGTATAAATGTATTCAAATTCAAGTACTTTCATCTTATTTACATCTTAGTAAGCTAGAAAAAATAGTTCTCATTAACATCAATATTTTTCAGCAATAAATAGACATTCTTCTTGATATTTGCTATTCTATTTTTGATCGGTATTAGAAATATACTGGATTGTTAATAATTTTAAATAATAATAGTAAGGCTGATTCTACATATGGTTGCAGCTCTATTATTGTATTTAATTTTGAATAATTTTGTCTTTTGATTCTATTTCTGCAGGTACTGTTTTTTATTAAATCACATTATTAGTGTTTGCTTTTAATTAAAGGTTTTCTCAAACTTGATCGTACATTCATGTACTCATATCTTTGTTAATTGAATTGAAGAATTTATGAATAGAGCACTTTGTTTACCCTATATTTCCCAAATAAATAACGTTCTTAAACAAGAACTTTTAACTATCTTCAAACCCAAATTAATTAATAGAGTAATTAGTAGGTGTCATATGGTCCAATATTTGAAAGATGCTGCATAAAAATTAAGACTGCAATTCAAATTCACTAATTTATATGATGGCTTGTTGAATAAATTTTCTGAATGTTATGGTGTTTGTTTCAGAAATTTTATGTTTAACTTCTTTCTGTCCCTATCAATTTTGTAATGTCCCCCCAAGCTACTTTTTCTTCTCAGTCCATATCTGTCCCTTTTACTCATTTTTTGGCCCTCGCTTGGTCAGTGTTTCACATTGTAGCTTCGACTTACTAACTACACCACTTTATTTTCATGACTTTCTGCGCAGGAGCAGAATAATTTATTCATTTAATACATACACATACTACCATGTTATCATTCTGATGTCACATTTTCGATATGCAATGTGCATTGTCATGAAGGATATCCTTATTTGCTTCTTGTCGTGTCATTTCTGCAGTTTGTGATAACATTCCATTTTTCTCTATACCACCCTCTGACAGAAACATTAATGACCATTAGCAGCTACAATCAGCATTTCATGTAAACCATTTTCAGTACAGGAAGGGGATTGTGGCACCTGCTATTCACTTCTGTTGGAAATGCCATCAGATTTGAGTTCAGATGCCATCAGAGTTGTTAATGCAATCTTCACCAGAACTCGGAGAACTGCTATTATCTGCAGTAAAACGTTTTCGTTACTCTTTGAGACACTGTCTTCTTATCGATTAACATGATTTTCATGAAACACACCTGGCTTACCATATTATAACAGTTTATCAATGGCCTCTTGAGTGATATTTTGAAATATTAGAACCACACCAGAGAACAGAATCCTCCACTGTGAAGATCTTGATTTTCCTGTGCATAAGGGTTTACATGTTTTTAAGCCGAACCCTTCATTTTTGTAGTTCTTGTAGTTCATTTGGGATTTCTTTTAGGATAGGTTTCAAGTGCATATTCTCCACTTCTTCTGTACTGCCATTTTTTCAATTTTTCCTTCCTTCCCTGGATTGATTGATGGATTCATTCATTCATTCATTCATTCATTCATTCATTCATTCATTCATTCATTCATTCATGCATTCATGCATTCATGCATTCATTCATTCCTGGTAAATTTTTCATGATTTATTAGTACTAGATACGAATATTGCTTGAAAATTGTAAGAAATATGGATGTTTAAAATAGTCTGTAGTTTTTCTGTAAATCTGTGAACTATACAGTTTAAAACATATAATTTGGTTAACCGTATGTAAATAGAATTCAGAGAAGTCTTATAGAAATATGTAGTTAAATTAATAATATTAATCACATTATTTAATACAGAAAGTGGAACTTCAATAAAAGTTCAATCAAAAGGTAGCATAGTAAACCACCATGTAGAAGAACCATTCGTAAAGTTAATGAAATATTCATTTTTTAATGTAGAATATTGGCATTGTCATAAGTGGTAGTACCCTGCGTCTGTGTACATTTACCCAATATTGAATAGAAAATAAAAATTTAATATTTCCAGTTATAAAACAGGTTTCACTAGCATCAGATTTCTCATTCAAAAGTTAGTGTCAACTCTAATTATGGAGGCCAAGGTATATACATTTTTTTTTTTTTTTACACTTACCTTTTAAAGAAGCCATTTCTGAAATGCAGTAAAGCAAATAAAAAATATTGTTTCTACCAACATACTGCTGGTACTACTCATTTTGTATATAAAATGTAAACACAGGTCATCCCATAACCATTATTGTTGTGTTGATTGGCCCTTGGCCGTCTAGTCTGAGAAACTTTACAGTAGATTAACAAAACAATTGATTGCTGCGAAGGGTAGTTTGCAAAACGTCTTCTATTGTGCTTTATAACAGTTTTTGTTATTGTCATTATTACATAGAATTAATAGATGTCACAAGTGTCAACTATTTAATAGATACTTGTTTGAAACATTCCACCAACTTAGTTTCATAGAAAACCATCTCTTTTAACCTTATTAAATTTTCCACAATGAATACTTTTTGCGTTTCTTGAATTCCTTAAAATTGTTTTAATTTATTTTGTAGAAAAATAATTGGAAGGTGTCAACAATTTAGCATTAATTAACCAAAACTGAGAAAAAACATGAAATTAGTTTTTGTAATTTACTAACTAATAATGCCTAATGAATGTTTTTGACACAGACATTTTGCACATAACTAATCTTCTCAAAGAATCATTTTACCGTGCAATTTTAAAGTTTCTGCCCATCATGTTTTGAGAATGCTAAAATGTTTATTCCTTAAATGTGTTACAGGATTCTAAGGAAACTTCAAGCATTGGTTGTTATGAATGAAACTCTCCGACAACAAGAAAGTCAATTTCGTGAACAGTGTCGACAGGAGCTGGCTAGATTACAGAAAAATGTCAAGTATGTTTTTCTCATTAAGACCATTACAACTTAATATTGTGATCAATAGGACATATGTTTTTAGGGAAATGCCTCTTCAATTTTTGGATGTAGATGCTTAAAAATAATTGTTTGCTTTATGTTGTATTAGTCTCAGAGAATTATTTTATAGTGCATTTTAAAATGTCTTGATGTATGATATCTTGTTTATTGAAAATCCTGTTTATGTAGACTTGCACAGGAAAGTGCTACTCCAGATGAAGACAGTGGACAAGTTGCAAAACAGTTTGTGGAAGAACAAGAACATGTTCAAAAGTTGCGTTTATTACTAGCTAAACGAAATCGGGCTATTGCTGTTTTACAACGGCAATTAGATGAAGTTCCAGGGAGAGCAGAACTTGCACAATATCAACGGAGATTTTTAGAACTGTATAATCAAGGTATGGAGTCAGTATATAATGAGGATGAAAACTACATTTTTCCTTCACATTGAATTTGTTTTTATAGATACCTCTCTAAAATTCCATTTGCAGTTGCTGCAAAACATAAGGAGACCAAACAGTTCTACACTTTGTACAATACTTTTGATGACACCAAGTTATATGCAAAGAAAGAATTAACACTCCTAAATTCAATATTGGATAATTATTCAGAGTAAGTACTTGTTCAATAGAATCACAGCAATCGTATCTGCATATATCTACTATTTTTGTCCTGGAGATATCGGTGTTAGGAGTTGAAGGAATATAGATTAGTTTCTCTTTTCTAGATCTGGTGTTCTTTGTAACTTTATGGTTTTCAAGCCTGTTGTATTTCCCATCATAATTTACATTAGATTGCATTGCTCTTCATTTTCTTGCTTTCTGCGGTTATATCCTCACGGATTTTCTGTTAAGTTTTCGAGAACATGGATTGTTTGTAATCTTGGTTCCCGTTGAGTTTCACAAAGATTTATCTGGATTGTAATCAATCGTCTGATCATTTCTTCATTAATGAATTGTGCCCATCTCTTCAATATTTTCAACAGTATAGATTGCTTAGTTACCCGGAGGAGGTCATATCATGCTTATGAAATAAATTGGTTTCTGTGGAAGAAAAAGGGCCCTAAAGAAACTGTTCATGTGAAGAGGTACCCGAACATCAAGAAATAAAATTACAGTAAAACCCCATTTTCATTTTCCTGCATTTTATGTTTTCTTGCCTTTTATGTAACTTTTCTTTGGTCCCATCATAATGCCTATATTTACAATTCATTCTTCCTGCAATTTACAACTTGGTATGAAGAGTGCTTCTCTTCTTGTAAGTCATTTTTTCCCCTTATTTTTTACATTCTCACACCTGTATACTGATTATAGAGAAAGGTATGTAATGTATATTCAAAATGGATATTTCCCAATCAATCTTGCTTGACTCATGGCGCTATGATTTTGAAAAACTTTCTTTAAAATTTGAGTGTACTTTACAACAAGCCCCCTGGACATTTTCAAAATTTTCAAAAAAGCTCCAAATTTTTTCTTTAAATTCCTAGTAAGAATTTAATAAAATACACTTATAAAGGTGGCCGCAAACTCTGAATAACACTGTTTACTCTGAATTTTTGAAAATTTCAAAAGTATGAATTTTTTGAGGTCTCTTCCTAGAACTACAAAATTGAAGATAAAGACTTTTCCTTCAAAAGTAATTTGTTGTCCACAATTTTTTCTTTCATTTAGGTCAGGTACATTTTGTTGAAATTTGTAGTTGTTTTCGCGCAATATCGCATTCAATACTTGCAAGTTTAAACATTACGAAAACAAGCCTTTCCCAAACAACAGATCCAATTCTTTTCTTTAAAATTTGCTATGGATGGTGAACTCCACAATATGACATAAACGCCATTTCTCTATTCTTTTGTTTTTTAAAATTTATAAAAAATTTAATTTTTTGACTTTTCTGTTGATTGTTAATATTTACATTAGCATCAATTTGTTCACAATATTGTATTTATGAGTACATGTGCTTTAAATAATGTTATATATAAAGTTTGTTCAGAACTCAACAGTATTCTCTTACAACAAGCTCAAAATTCCGCATCTTCACCACCAACACTCATTCTCCATTTTCTCAAAAATGGCTACAATTTTTTTCTTTAAAGTTTTGTATAGATAGTACTAATTTAACTGTTTAATATGACACAAGCTTCATTTTGGGGTATTCTTTGTTTTTTAAAAAATGACACAAAATATTAATTTTTTTAAAATATCTTTAGCGCCTTTAGTATGCCCGTTTCCAGCAATTTGTAAACACTATTGCATTTGTGAGTTAAAGTGCCTGAAATGGCTTTAAATGAAGTTTTTTCAAACCTCAAAATTTTGCTGTGTAAAAGAGTTACAATTTTGAATTTGCAGTAGCGCTTAAACACCGTTTTCATAAAAAAGGCTCCAAATTTTTCAATGAAAATTGCCATTTATGATGAGGTTTTACTCTTCTTTTATATTCTTAAGTAATATTTTGGTTCTACTCTTAGAAAACTGAAAAATTGAGAAAATGTCAAAAATGTACTTTAGGCGGAGATAGATGGCGGCTGGCAGGATGGGGCAAGATCCTAAAGCCAGTTCATGCCATGAAATTGGAAAACTTTACTTTGAGAAAGTCTCTGCAAGTCTGTTGCACCACTAGTTACTTTCTCATATATGTACGAATTTTATGAAGTAATATATGTAGTGCAGACATATTTGACAGAAAAACTCGTATTGATACAGAAAAGGTGGATAAATTCTGTTCTGTTATGTAGTAAATTAATACATATGCACAACATACGTATGTAGCAAAGTCGCAAAACCTCATATTTGTTAAAATCAATCTGTAAATATCAGTTTTGGAGAAAATTTATGTTAAAAATGAGAAAAAATATGTTTTGAATTCCATTGATTTTAGTGTTTCTGACGTACTTAAAACAATTAAAAACCTTAGCATGAAAGGGAAAAGGAATCCTGATGGTATCTCTTAAATTTTGTTAGAAAAATGTAAATTGCTGAAGGTTCTATTCAATAAATCCTTATTTAAAAGTCTGATTTCAATGGAGTGGAAATCCTCAAACATTGTACCAATCTGAAAATCTGATGATAAGAGTTGTATTTCTAATTATAGACCAATAACAGTGAAACCCTGGTTTTTACGTTCCTGCATTTTACATTTTCCTGCCTTTTACATAATTTTTCGTTGGACCTGTTGAAAAGCCTATATTTACATTGCATTCTCTTCTCGCAATTTACAACTTGATATGAAGAGTGCTTTCCGTCTTTTACATATTTAAAAAAAATTTATTTTATTTTATTTTTTTACTTTCTCATATACATACATTTTATACCTAATGCTGAGAAAGTTATGTAATGCTTCAGCAAAGAAAAGCGATTTCTCAACAGAAAAACTAGTACTGATACAGAAAAAGTGGATAAATCGTGTTCCAATATGTAGTAAATTACTACATATGTATGTAAAGAACTAATGTTTGTTCAGATCAATCGAGATATATCAATTTTCAAGAAAATCGGCAGGCAGTTTAGGTGTACATGTTGACCACAGTTGAGCAGCGTTTTCAGCTGGAAAAATAGCCGTCAATCGATTTTGCGGTTTCAAGAACCATAAAACGTGGATCCAGGTTACACCACGTATTAGAGGAAGTAATTTACTATGTATAGGAATATGATTTATCCATTTTTTCATTACCAGGGCACGTCAATAGATTTTCTGACGAAACTTGCTGATTCTGGTGCATGCTTTTACTTTTTCTTCTTACGAAGGGCGAGAAAGTGAAAACAGAGTAACCGTTGTAGTAAATACTGAAAGTACTTGTCTAGCTTATCGTTTTTCAACTTTCCTGTATTTTACACTATCCTGCACTTTCCACTTTTTTCATCAGTCCCCTGAAAAGTGTAAAAGAGGGGTTTTACTGTACAATTCAGTATGTAATTCCTAATCTATTTGAATCGATAATTGTTGATAAATTGAATCTGTCCACTTCTGTCAGAGACAGTTTGATTTTATTAGTGGAAGGAATATTGAGGCCAATCTCGTATATTACTCTCAATATATTCACAATGGAATGGAGGATAATTTTCAAGTTGATGGTATTTATACACACTTTAGTAAGGTAAGATTCAGTGAATCATTCCATTCTTCTCTGGAAGTTGCAATGTTTTGGTATATGCAGATCTCTACTTCAATGGTTTAGACATTATTTATTGGGTCGTGTACAGTATGTGTCTGTTATGCATGCTACTTCTGAACCCATAATTGTTTTATCTGGGGTACCGCAAGGTTCCCACCTGTCTCTTCTATTGTTTTTAGTTTTTATAAATATGTTAGTTATATTATAAGAGATGTTGAATTTCTTCTTTTTGGCGATGACGTAAAAATGTTTAAGATCATTAAATCTCCTCAGGAGAAAACTGTTACAGGAAACACTAAATAAATTTGTCAAATTGTGCACAAATAACAATCTTAATTTAAATCCTAAATGTAAAACAATTACTTTCTCTAGAGCTAGAACCTTGATCGAAGGGTTTTATACTATTAACACTATGATTATTGAAAGAGTGTCAACTATACGGGTTCTTAGTTTTTGACACCAAAATGTCTTTTAAAGATAATCTTCATATTAGTTATGCCAATCAGTTGTTAGGCTTTACTAAGCGTACATGGTATGATTTGCGATCATGAAAAATATTGAGTTCACTTTATTTCATTTTTGATGAGACTAGTACTTATGTCCTCTTCAGTTGTTTGGTCACCTTGTTTTTTGAGCAATATCTCTAGAGTTGAAACGGTCCAACATAAGTGTTTTAGACTTGCTGCATACCTTGCTGGGGTTCAGGATCCCTTTAAAACCCGTGATTATAGTATTATAGCTTCATATTTTAACATACCTTCATTGAAATCTTATAGAGATTATGTTGATATGTTTTTGTAAAAACTTTTAAGTGATACTTTTTATTGTCTCACTTTTGTTGTATCAATGGTGTTTTAAAGTTCCCAACTTCAATACCAAAGGACCACAAATTCTTGCTCAGAAGTTTTATATGCATTTGTACACAGCTAACAACCCTACTAACGGAATGTGTGTAGCTGCCAATAAGTTTAATTAAAATATTTTTTTGTCAAATGATCCTGCGTGAGTAAACTTTTTAAATTGGAAAGATTTCTTATACTAAGTAATTAATGTTTTTATGATTCCCTTTATTTGGTCTATATTCCTGTAATTTTCATTATAGTGCTTCATTCTTTTGTTTTGATTATTTTCTATATTACCATCAAATGTAAGCTGTATTTAAAATTTGCATCTTCTTTATGTTCCTATTCCTGTTATTTTCGTTGTAGTACTCTAGTCTGTGTTTTTGTTTTCTTTAATCATTTCTATATATGTAATAATGTGAACTGAACTTCATTGTAGTTGAGTTATTGGGTTGTAGTTGTTTACGTAATTTTTGTAATAATTTGGACATTGTCCTTTAAATTTAAAATAAAATGAAATCGGCAGAACGGTTCAGACGCTGGGGTTGACAATGTGCTAGCATTGACCAAACAGACGTTTTGCCGACAATCAATTTTTTGGTTATAAGGATTGACAAAACATGAATTCTGGGTACACCACGTGTTAGAGCAAGTAATTTACTATACATAGGAACATCATTTATCCCTTTTTTGTTACCAGGGCCTGGCAATAAGGGTTTTTCCCTTGAAAATTCTGTTTTCCAGTGCTCAGTTATAATACTTTCTCTTCTTATGAAGTAAGGTTGAGAAAGTACAAACAGCCATTGTAGTAAATAAAGTAAGAACTCGCATAGCTCACTGTTTTTTAACTTTCTGCTTTTACATTTTTTTCCATCGGTCACCTGAAAAGTTGAAAAAAGGATTTTTACTGTATGGGTATGTAAATGGAAGTTACATCTTTAATGGCCTTTATCAACCATTATTTTTTAAATCATTAAACCAGATTTAGAACATGTGACAGTAATTGGTTGTCCATGTAACTTATAAATATTTCAGTAGCTGTCAAGTAATATCATATCTGCTATTCAACTATCAAATTGGTTTCTTAAATTTTTTTAAGTTTTCCTAATTTATTCATACATCTGAAGATTTTGCATTTGTTCTTCATTAATGTTTATCAATATGGGCAGGTTTCTTCCATTACTTTTACAAATCATTCTGATTTGTCATTTACTACTTTTAAGTTTTTGATGAATGGTTTAATTTCTTTGAATCCAAAATCTTCTTTCCAGGCTTAAGGATTGTTTTTCAAGAACCAAGCAAGTTATTTTTTTGGTTAATGTTGAACTTTATTAAGGATGCTGCAATCTTCTATTTAGAGTTTCACTCTGTATTCAAAATGAAGAAAATATTACAACTTCTTTGATCAAATACCTCAAATATCAGAAGAGTGTTGAAACACACAAATTAGAAAGAACAGTTTGGGCAATCTCTAGGTCATATTTAAGTACATGTTCAAGGACTCCCCAAGCATTAAATCATTTCCTAGCAAATCCCAGAGAAATGGCAGCTTATCTGGCAGTCATCCAAACCTAAGCAAAAATTAAAGCATTGAACAAACATTACATGACGTTTTGCATTTTATCATTATCTATTCCAAATGCTTATTGAAAGCTTATTTCTTTACCAAGTAAAGTATTCTAAGCATCCAACTGTGTTTATGAAATGATCCAGGCTTTTGCCAACAAACTCCCTGGAATAGCATTTCTCATTATAGTATTAAAAAGGACAATCTCTGCAAATTCTTTGTAGTGATTTTGGAGGAGTGTTCTCTTTAGTGAGAACCATTTAGAGGAACGAATACAACCTCTCCTTTTAATTTTAGTTATGATCTTGATATGCAACTTCTTAAATTGCTCCTTGCAATATTTTTGTGCAGACAATTTTCCTTGAAATTTTCTGAATTTGACCAGACTCATTGATGTACTGAAAATTGATTTCAATGCACCGCCTTCAAGTATTTAAAAACTTGTATAAACAATTTTCAAAATTTACAATAACAGTTTTTGAACTAAAGTTAGTAATAGACAGCATTGAGCTGATAATGAATTTCCAAACCACAACATGATTAGATTTTTACTTTCAAATATCTTAATTTCTAAAGGTTTTTTTCCATTGGAACTTAAAACGCTAAATAATCTGTCATTCATCAACCTGTAGCTCATAAACCCATTGTCCCAGAGATACTAAACTTTGATTTCTAACTGATACATGTGTGCTGGAAACGATGTGCAAATTAAAATAGCCCAGAAAAGTTTATGGAATTTATTTAAACAATTTATGAAATTTGCAATATCAATTTCTTGAAAAAAAACAAACATGATAATAGAACCAAACAGCTGAGAACGCTGATTTAAACCGCAATTGCATCTGAGTTTTACTTTCAGAAATATATGAATTTCAAAAGTTTAAAGGTGTGCACCGAACACAGTGTGCTTATTTAAAAAGTCCAAAAAATATTGTCCATAGAAAATGTTAAATCAATTTTCAAGTATTGCAATATTAAATTCACGAAAATTCTATTGAAAATTCAAGAAGCAACTCTAAAACAAACTGTGCAAACAATTTCTCTCTGACCCACCTGAACAGAGGTATGATTTTGCATTCTCATCTGAAACTAAGTTGCCCATCTCTGTGACAGCCCCCAAACCTCTATGAGCCAGTCTCTGACAGCCTGCAAGGGGTTGGGATGTACCCTGATGGTGTTCACGTTCAATACCCTCGCACCTCTGCTGCATGCAGATAAGAGGGTGGATTTTTTAAAGTCATTTTTAATGAACTTTTTGCTGATATCATTGATTTTGGTATCATTTTAATGGTACTTTCTTCACATAATATTTACGAGATACAACATCTGTACTCCACAGACTTCATTAGTAGCCTATTCCATTTCTTCGCTCTAATTGTAGCAGTAGTCAGCCATTGTATGTAATCTAAGGTTCCTGTGTTGCTTATCAGTGCCATTGTTGCTTCGGCCAATTCCAGGATAACTAAAGACATAGATATCCTGTTAAAGGCCAGTCCAATCCAAAAGTTTGCAAGCTGAGTTCACTTGAACGAAAGGAAGACGACTTGATTACATCAGTAGCTGATCCAACAGCTTGAGTTGTTTATCTGAAACGGTTTTGATAGATTTTTTTATTTCATTTTTCTTTGCTTCTAGGTTATTTTTAAAACATTTTGAGAGCCTTCTATTGATAATTTTTGGCAATGTTTTAGGTCATCAAAATCCCTGCTCTTATATATAACTGTTCTTATTAATGTGTACTTAAATACATTTTTGTCTTAGGGCTATGTCCTCTGCCAGTGGTAAGGAGCAGTTTATGAAACAATTTGATGCCATTGTGGAAGGAATAAAACAAAATAAATCTAAAGTAAGCAAGAATTCAATGATACTTTTTGGTATGAAGATAGCTTGATCTTAATAATCAGTGTTGCTTTTGGTAGGTGGATCGAAGAAGAACAGAAGAACGACAGAGAAGGGATAGACTAAGTCAGCAACTCCTTGGGCTTGTTGACCAACAGAGACGTTATGTTGCTGCTGTACGCCAACTCACAATTGAATGCCGTAGAAATGAAATGCTGCTTTCTCAGTTACGTGGTACATGATGTGATATTTCAGATAAAATCTGACTGTTATATTAAATTTTCATAAAATGAAAAAAAAAACAAAAAAAACCCACATATTAATTTGTTTTATAAATTACTGACTAAAATGTCTATAAGTGGGATATAATTGAAGTTGTTGATTTGTAGCAAATGTTCAAATGTTATATTTGAGGCAAGACTTTTGCTTTTGTTATGTGCAGAATGGACCCCGAGGGGGTTTCTCTTTGTACACAAATTGTTTGTTCCTAATATTAATGTATCATGAATGTATCAAACAATATACTCATTGTTATGTGATAATAAAAACATTCCACTGTGGAATTCCTGTTCTTGTAGAAATTACATATTTTAAGGTTCCTTAGTCTATTAATGAAACCTTGTTTTAAAAATTTTGACTGTATGAATCTGAAATAATTCCCCTTTACAATTCATTGTCATATCTTTCGGAGTTGCTGATTAAATACGCATTACGCAATGTCAATTTGTAAAGTAAGGCTTGATTATATTTTATTTTTGGTAATTTTCGGATTTTTTCCTTCATAATTTAAGATTCCAATTGTTCATTTAATTGTGTCTTAACCGATTGTGGTCAGCTATTCTTTCATGATATATTGATAAGAAATGAGCTGGGGAGCAGTAGTGAAATTGCAGTGTTCTTCATACTCTGTTATTACTAAAAATTGTCTGCTATTTTTTAAAATTACACATCAGTTAAAAATTAGTAATAAAAGATCAGGAATAAATTTATTCTTTACAGCATTTTGGGGCAGACCAATCGTTTGAGAGTGCCAATGTTAAAAAAAAGAGGATGCTTGTGGGCTTAATGAAAACAGCCTTGTTTAGAGTAAGGAGAGAAATACCAATTGTGGAAGGTGATTCTAAGAAGAAAACAATTTCAGAGTTATCAGCGGGGCAGTTTTGACAATGAGTCATATTCCTTTACAAGAATGTCTAGCACAAAAGATACAAAAGAAAGTAAATAGATCCACATTGTGAGGGACCACATTGAGGCCTGTACCACATTGTAGTGTGAGATTCTTATTCGCTCAAGCCACTTCCCAAGGCTAATCTGCCATTCGCGAGAGTACAATTACAGCATATACCGAGCATCCAAAAGGAAAATAATATTAATTTTAATTACGATATTTAGTGTATTATTACCATTTGGATTGTATAATTCTAAAGAACCTGTAACAAGTATTGTATTTCAGCTTCTGGGTCAGTGACCCCTGTCTCCAGGTTTTTATTCAGTTTCCCTGATCCTCGAGCAAATGCTGAGATGGCTCGTGTTTTGCTTCTGGACATTATTATAACTTCAAATTCACTTCTTCCCATATCACGTCTGTTTTTATTGTTTTTGACATAAATAAAGTGAATAGGGCATGCACCCCCTAGCCTCTTGGCACCATAGTAGCATGCCATGCTCTCCCCTCTCCGAGTCTCACCTCTATTTTGGCCATGAAGGCAGTCACTGCTTCCCACTTCTCCCTAGAAGCCAGCATTCCCCTTACGATGTTCTCGGTCTCCTGTTTCTGTCCGAATTGTCGGCAGAGCTGTGTTCTCTCTTCAAACCGCGGGAGACTAAGAAAAGGTGTTCTGCATCCTCTACTTCTGGGGTGTAGTAAGGGCAGCGCAATTCAGCCATATCGAATGGGGAATAACAATTTTGGTGAAAATCCTACCTACGTTTTAACTATTAGTGTTTATTTATTGAAGATCGCTTTTCAACTTCTAAGGTAATATACAGACCACTGTAATAACATTGGTGGTAACGGTTTACGGACAAACACGAACATTCATGTCCCGGGCGGGATTCAAAACAGCGACCCTGCAGGCACGAGGCAGCTACAGCTGTCCAGCTTTATTTTTCTGTCGAAAAATCGCTGTTTTGTTTTTCTGCAGCATTACAATATTTATTATTTTCAAGCAATAGGGGAGACCGTGTTTGTACATTGTGTCAGAGAATCTCCTGTCAATTAAAGTTTTCATTTACTTTATGGTTGGTTTAAGTATTATTTATGATTTTTTCATTTCGGTTGGATACTACTAAAAATCAAGATAGATTTACTTTGCTGATGGCGTGGCCAAGTACCCTCGTCCAAACATCACGTCTATACTTCGATTTTTCTATAGTGGCCGATGACAGGTCATTGTTACACATCCTTCCTTTTAAAGACATTCATTTTATAGGGCAGGAGACGATGACCTTATGTCATCGGCCACTGTAGAAAAATCGAAGTGTAGGTTCATTCTGGACTTAGAACCATCCATGACGAAAAGACCACCTAAAGGGGATCAGGGACGCCTGAAACACGCGTCGGCACAAGCAATCGACTGCGTGCAAGTCGAATTGGAGCCTTTGGGGGGATCCTCCCCGTTCTCTGCCTCACTCTGGAGATGCGAACCCTTTCTTAAGCGTTTACCAAAATGAAACGGGAAAGAGGGATCGCCAGGAACACGGGTCCCATTCACTTCAAATAAAATCACACATTCACATTTTATGTAAGGTTCGGAGTTATGTACCATTTGGTATGCATGAATACGGACTGAAAATATCAATAGCGGTTGAATTAAAGCACGATGATCCAATACAACAAAGACAGTGGATTTTTATGGAAATTCAGGTTGTTGATCTTCATGCTAGACCTGTGACTAAATAAGAGCTCCATGTTCTCTTGGAAAGTTTTTCAATGTTTCTCACACTGAAATGGTAGTTCTTTGTAATCGTCTCGTGCGCCAGTCGCTTCCGAGATGCTTCCCTTCCAGCGATAGATGCGACTTGGCAAACGTTTTGAAAAGGGTGTTAATGTAGTCGTGTTTGTGTATATAATAGTGTGCGTTGTGTCAGCAGCAAGATGAATAGTATACAGTTTTATTAAGTAATCATTTTGCAAATCTCAATGCCGAAAAAATTAAAGAACTTGACAGAGCTTCACCTCCACTGGTGTTGCAAGAAGAGCTAGTTTGGTAAGGAAATTCGCTGTACATTATTTATTAACAATAAGTTACATTATCGATTTGTTATATTGTCGTGGACAAGACGTAGATAGTTAATTTACGTCAGCACGTGTACGTGTGTTATGAAGCAATAAATTTTCAATTTCGTTGGTCTTTTTGGACAGTAGGTCTATGGCTCTTGTTCAGCTCAGTAGTTCGGCCAAGGTCGCTTGCCCAATTTTGTCGCTACCAAGTCAACACTGTTTTGAAGCGAGCGTTAGAGAGAAAGTATTCCATGGCAGTTTTGTTATCGTGAAAGAAAAAAATGCTTTCAGAAGTGCTCGCTATCTTCTGTCCAGTTCCTGAGACCTTTTGCATTGTTGTTGCCTATGTTCTTAGGCTGTGTTGATATTTTCCAGACGATTGTATTTTGTTTTCTTTTCCAGATGTGTTGTGTACTAATAATGTTCCTCCAACTGTTCGGCAATAATTTAATGAACTACAGGTAAATAGAACAGCAAATATTGTTGAGGCCGGGATGCTCCCGTGAGCGAAATATCCTCTGAATTACTCAGTACTTCCCCTATGGACCGTCGCAGCATTTCCCTCTGATTTTACAGATGTCCCAGCGACTATGGGCTACTCCCTTTAAGTTCTAGCTAAACGGTTCGCGATATCGAAATGCGGTTATCACTCAACAATGCGGAGTCATGGGGCAAGTAATCTGCCGTAGATATAGTATTTGAAATATTTCTAGTTTTCGAGAAATTTATTCGTCTTAATTTTTTAGAGGGAACTATTACGGATGTTGCACCAAATATAGGCCATCCCCGTATTTTCTAAACGGTTCACTATATCGAAATGCAGTTTTGCTGATGCGCATTGCTGTCGATGGGGGGAGGACGCAGAGCAAAATGGTAAATGATTTATGTATACACTTTTATTCTATATTTCTATAGGTACCTACAACTTGCTTTACTTTGTAAATTTACAGGAAAAGTTTAGTAACATTCAATAATAACAAAATGTGTGCGTAGTATCTAAAAGCTCATCCTTGCTTTTATTCCCTTTTCTTGTATTTGAAATGTTTTAAAATGATGTCTTGTTCTTACAGCCTTCTTACAGTTATCGAGCTCGATTCTTGTTAAGTTTGAAAATGACCTTTGTTAGTATCCTCCTTATAATATCAAATTCTTTGTATAGTTCATACTTTGGAATTTCAATCAGCGGAAGAAAATTTTAATTCTTATGTATCAATGGAAAATATTTCATTCTGATCATTAATATTGATGTTTGTCTCTGTGGCCTAGTAAAGATCACGGATTGCTGTAATAGAGATGTCCAGAATGACGTCACGCTTGACGGACAAGTGTTGGGTGTCAAGCAGAGGCGTGCACGTAAGCGTTTCCTAGAGAATTATTAAATCTTCGGTTGTATTATGCTGTTGCCGAGTGTTGTTTCTTATCACATTTGTCATTTACAATGATATTCGCTTGTTTTCGGTTTGTTTAGGTTCTGACTTTGCATCTCGTTCTCAAATTTTATTTAGAAAGCACTATTCTCTCAGACATACAAGTCACCACTTTTCATTCTGAAAACGGTTCGAAGTAAATATCAGCTAGCGATGATGCTAAGGTGCTACTTTATAATAAAATGAAATATTTGAAACATTTGGATCTAGTGCTAACGAATTGCGGGCACCTGTGTTATTCGAGTTGAAGTGACTCTAGTTCGTAGTAGTGGAGAAAGTAAGAAAAGCGTCCCCTATCGACTTTGGGTAGGTGCAAGAGAGATCGGGCTAGGCAATGTTCAGATAACGCTCGACTGGTCACCTAAATGTATGGCGAAATTTTGTTCCAAGAACATCAAATGTCAGGGATACGGAACGCTTGACGGCCGACTGTACAACTGAGGAGAAGTTATCTCACTACCCGGCGAGAAGGAAAGAATTATGGAAGGGGCAATCAAAATTTTAGCGCATGCTCAATGAACTTTTGTTTTTCTACTTTCAATCTTATGGTTTGGTCAATATTGTGCCCCACGGTATTCTTTCGACGAAGGAAAGCAACTCGAGAACGGGCCGGAGACCTCCAGTGATTCTTCCTGCCGCCCGCGCGTGCTCCAAGACCACGTGAAATATCACCCGTCTCCGGAGGCGACCCTGGCCGCCGCCCCTCATGTTGTTATGATCTGACTTAACGAGGATCTTAATGCGCGTTGTTTTAGAACGAACCTCGCCTTATTTCTTCATCCAGTTCTCATTTTCAGTCAGTAAATTGTACGTTAATTTGCACCACAAATGTATTTCTGTCCGTTGTGTATATTGCCTGGGGAAGATAAAATATGTATTACTTAACATAATTACATTTTTCATGTTGACTGTAATTCTGACCGACGCCCGGGAGGCTTGCAGTGTTGCTGCTAGCTTTCACCCCTTTTTACCGTTTTCGCTGTTCTCCCTTCCTCGATGTCTGAAACAGATGTAGTCATCTTCGGGGGAAGGATGCTTGCGCCAGCATGTTGCCGTAAGGGCCACGGGAGTATGGTACACAGGTTAAATCGGTATGTGATTTTCACTTTCGAATTTTCTATGGTACTAAAGGGAAAGAAGGGGCAATAGTGAATATGTTGTTTCGATACCCCCCAGAAATTTGTGATATAAATAATTTTTGAAATTTGGTATAAATGCATTACTTTAAATTAATTTCAGTTTAAATTCACATTTGTCACTTGCTCATAAACTGATTCGTT